AATATAATATGTATAACTAGAACATTGTACTAAATTATATATCTAGTACAATACTCGAATCCCGCAAATCTCCCGGACACGGCTAAGTCGGGCAGGTGTGTAGCGACTAATTATCTAGTTTGACTAATGAACTGCCTAATAACATTGGATCTGTGGTTTATTCATGCAATATACATAATATGTATGTATATATGTCCGAGGGACAACTGTTATGTTACTTTTTATATGGACCATCATTTTCATTTCTTTCGCATTTCGTACCACAGTAATATTGTATGTAATGTGAAAGTTTGTGAGTGTGGATGTTTGTTACTCTTTAACGCCAAAACGGTTGAACGGATCTGAATGAAATTTGGCGCAGAGATAGATTATAGTCTGGAATAGCACATAGGTTATATTTGTTTCTGTCGAGATTATAATTAGAAGATTACGTAAGAAATCTATTAAATAACTCGATAAACCTAACCAGAGTTATTTTGGTTGGTATTACTTTTTATCTGGCGTTATTTTTAACTAAATACTAGGTACTCTGTCCTACTCAACCAGCTTACGTAGAGCGACTCTCTACCCTCCTAGATCTTATACAAGTGCTAATGCTATATTTGGTTGTGGGATCTAGGTAACAAGTAGACCTATTTTTATGTTTTCTAAGGTAGCTAAAATTGTTAAAATACATTAAATATATTATTTTTACGTTTTAGAATATATTTAATTATTAAGTTGAAAAGTTCTTCTTTGATATGTAAACCACAATAAATAGTCAATTCGGGTGCAGTGTGCAAGTGCCACGTTAATACGCAGTCAACGGGGCGTACTACGTCATAATTGAAAATAATCCCAGTTTTAAATCGGAAATTGAAAACCAAAAGCTCTGACGCCGCGAGTGTTTGCGAAACGATAAGTTTGTTTGATATTTTATTTTATGTGCCATATTAATTGGCTAGCTCCGATGAAGGGTTTGATTTATATAATCACACAAGTTAATAAATAATTGTGAAGATATTCGTCGAATAAAATTGAGTACTACTTCATTTCGTTGCTCACAGCTAAGAAATTGTGAATTTATTTAAGAACTATGTGCTAAAACTCAATAGGTATAATGTACATACCAGTGGAGAAAGGTGAAATTTTACTCGTAGCAAAGGTAAGCTGTTCCAAAAATATACAATTTTTATATAATTATTAATGCAGAAAGAAATAAAGCTATTATATATATATAAATATTTCCAAAAGAACATTTATACATTTAAAAAATTAAATGTATGTAAAATTATAACAAAATAATTTAAAGGTAAGACGTTTTGTATGGACCCTTCGCCACTGGTACATATTATGTACATATATTGTGTATAATGAATAAAAAAAATGCACATTAGTGTAACAACAATAAGGTCATGCTTCTTTTTCTTCTTCTAAGCTTCTGTTATAATGATGACTCAATTTAAATGACTATTATCAGTACCTACTAATTTTTAGTGATAACTCTACAATGAACGAATCAAATAAGCATAAAAATATCTATCGCCAAGAACGATAGTGAATTAAATAAGTATAAAAATACGTAATGGTTTGTACAAATAAAAAACTTAATTATTTTTATGTAAAATTTTGCAGTTATACATTTTTTTTTCTTTATTGGCTTATAGTTGCGTTAACAGACGCAATCCATTCTGCCAGTGTCACGTTTTGTGAGGAAGACACGAATGAGATTGAGCGGTAATTTTGAAATTTGGTAACTTTAATGTGGAATTAAAATTATAAATTAATGATCGGTCCACAGGAGTAACCTACAACAATAGTAAAATAAATAAATTAATAATTAATTATTATAATTTATTATAATTACATAAAACAAAAATGACACATTGATTGAGAATGAAAATATTTACATAATGAGTATTATATTATAATTTAATTTTATAACCTACTACAAATGCAGTTCTACATAATAGCCTGAATATATAAAACCCATCAACTTAACAGACGGAATGTAGGAATATGACATGATGTGAAATGTCATAAAAGATTCGCTTTTCTCTATGTTTACAGGAAATGATTACAAATTCACCGTACATAACTATATCGCGCGTTGTCACGTGCGGCAAAGGGTATATTTTTATGGAATACGTAATTCTGTTTGACTTCATACGCGATGTCCATATTTGCCGAAGACTCTACGTCCTACATGCAAAGAGCGTCGACTGTTTCCAATTACTTATATCGAATAGTATAGAAAAGTTATATCTGTATAGTTAATTATATAAACTAGAGTTTACCTAGTGGTCGATTCAATCTTAATTTTTTTTATTCATAACAATAGCGACAAAAAAAAAGAAAATCGGTTAGCAAATAGAAGAGAAAAAGGTAGTAAATTGCTTTGTCTTCGCTTATTTATATGTAGATATACTATACAGGTAATATTTGAATCCAATTTTGTTATATTGATGAGTACAAGCGATTTGTATTGAGATATACGATACATATATAATAATATTCTGAGTCAGATCTGTACATTAAATATTTTTTGGAAAATCTTATTGAAATAAACTTCATTATCGATACAGAGGCCGAATCTATAGTTTTTAGAATTTTTGTCTGTCTGTCTGTCTGTCTGTCCGTCCGTCCGTCCGTCCGTCCGTCTGTCTGTCTGTTACCGCATCACAGAAAAACGACTGGAGGCATTTTGATGAAATTTGGTATGATGATAGCTGGTTTCCGGGTCAACATATAGGATACTTTTTAAGTATTGCGGGAAAATATCTCATCTCTAAGAAATATATACTAAACGATAAAACGTACCTATATTTATAAAATTAGAAGTATTTGCAATTACCCATTATCAGATGTTTATTTTATTTACTAATATTTCTTCTATGATTTTGTGCTATATATTTCCATAGAATACATATTATTTACTATGCACTTATTATTAGCACTTAGAAGATAATATCTTTTTTATTGTTATTAATTCTTAAGACTTACTCATTTTAATTTTGTCAAATTTTTCTTAACTATACAGTTATCGAAACAAAATAAACAATATTCATAAAACATAGACAGTTATAAGAATGAAAAACAAAAGCTGATATTGATAAAAAATATGATTAATCCTAAGAAAAGCTTAGAAAAATAGTGAAAAAGCTTTATGCGAATGGAAACGCGCAAGTCTATAACGAAACAGGTCTTAGCAAATAGAGGGAGACATCGACTGATAGAAAAATTTTCTCGAGAGCTTTTCGACTGAGAATAGGGTACTGCTCTTTTAAGCGTCCACGTATAAAACTCTTAATACATAATTTTATCATCTACATAACTTGAAAGATTAAACTAAGTAGCATTATATATATACTGCATCTATTTATACGTACTATTTAGTCATTTTTAATAGGGTTCTATACCAAATTTGTGGAACATTTTTTGAATATTTATATAGTTTTTTTAATAAAGCTAAAGATAAAAATCGGCTTTTTAAGTTATTTGTATATTTGAAGCCCAACTTACAACTTTCATTATTATATGTTCCTTATTATGACATAATTATGGGCGATTCTTGGTACCATGAAATATGAAGTATATTTGTGGTACGGTTTCTATGCCACAGGTCATGCCATGCCATATGTTAGTACCTGGGCTTAGCATTTTGTGAGAATTTTCATTGCATTTGCCAAGTGGAGACGGGAGAGGGCAAATGTCATAATCTGATAAAGCTAAAAATAAGATTTTGGAATATATAATTTTGACGCTTACCAAAATATCCATTACAGACTTACAGATATTGTTATTGATATATCAAGATCGAATATTAAATTATGAAGGGAATAATGGATCTTACTCTGTCTAACCTACCCCAAACTGTAGTTTACCTGTTAATGTAAAGTAGGCGTGGATTACTATTATTATAAAAACTTATTTCCGGTTGCAATGAAGCTCCATCTTCCACGTGAATGTGTGATACCGTGTATGGAGTATTATTTTATACTGAGATTCCTCTTATAAGAAAAGTGAGGGCATTTACAAAATAGTTGCGGTATTCCAAAAAGTTTAAGATTTAAAAAAAAATCTACATTGGCCTTATAATATGTACACTAGCGACTCACCCTCGATTCGCTCGGGTTCGTCCCTGGGTACGTTTTAAAGCTTAGCTTTTAGTATGGAATAGATGGACTATATGTTATATGATATATAAGAGTCTTAATAGTCTTCCTTAATAAACGGGATATCTAATGCAAAAATGAATAAGTGAATTTTTCAAATCTGTTTAGTAGATTTCTAAGATTAGTGCATTCAAACAAACAAACTCTGCCTCTTCATAACATTAGTATAGATATGTGTAATGTCGGATATCCATTTAGGAAGGATTTAAAAAAAACACGTTATATTCCAGTGTTTTGAAATAACGTAACTAAGTAAATATAAAAAAATAATAATGAGTCCGTCACTGAGCGTGTGTAATACGAAACTTAAAGTAATATGTTTAAATAATAATTTAAAAGTAATTAATAATTAAAAAGGTGAAGATGTAAGAATATATTTAAAAAAGGCGTAGTGATTTTTTTTTAAATATTTTGTTTAAACAAATTTAATTTTCATGATAAATAACCGTCTACATTCTTTTTCATAATAAACATATTCGTTATGGTCATTACCATTAATCGGAAACTATTTTAATCTTATTATTAAAGACATTTTTCTTTATTGACGTATTTGCAAAACTATGTGAAATATTCGATCACTTGTTTGTTTTGAAATTGCTGCTTATCGTTTACAAATGATTTAATTTTTTAACTTTTATATTCATCAGTTCTTAATGACAAAGTGTGTTGTAAACGTTTAAAATGTACGTGCCTTCTAAAACAGAATCGTTTGCAAAATTATTCATCCTTGTAAGTTGTACTGGCTTACTAATGTACATTATATTAGCTTTTTACACATTTCACACGGCATTTTCGTCTATGTTTCGATTGCAAAAGTATCAAGAATATATTCAAGCACTACCTCATATGGAAATAGATGTCGGAAGCGAGAAGTATAACATGAAATACATATTGCTTTGGACAACAGTTAATAATTCTTTAAGCAATATTGGAGATGGCCAGACTCCGTTTATTGATCATGCATGTTTGTATACAAATTGTTTCTTGACAACTGATAAATATCTTTTAAATGAAGATTATATAAACTTTGATGCACTTATCTTTGATGTGAACGATTTGAGGAATTGGAACGAAATGACCTTTCCAGAGACAAGATCATTACACCAAAAGTATATCTTTCACAGTGATACTTCATCTTATGATGCACCCATCTGCAACTACATAGCGGACAATTATTTTAATTGGACTTGGACTTATAAGCTGAATTCTGATATTGTCAATCCATTTATTGAGATAAAAGACTTTGAAGGAAATGTGTTAGCCCCAAAAGAATCAGTTGCGTGGGAGTCTAATATAACAGAAGTAACTGAAGAGGAAATTAAATTCTTTAAGGAGAAAAGAAAGACAATGGCTTGGATAGTTTCAAAATGTAATACGGTAAATGACAGAATGATGTTTGCTAAAATGCTGCGTAGTGCATTTCAGAAGAACTCGCTTGTTTTTGATATATATGGCTGTGGCTATCTTGAATGTCCAAAAGGTGGATGTCTAGAGATAATAAAAAAAGAATATTATTTTTATTTTGCTGCTGAAGAATCAAATACCGAAGATTATGTAACGGATGAAGTTATCACAGCTTACAGTAATTATGCTGTACCAATTGTCTTCGGAGGGGCAAATTATAGCAAGTTAGTTCATAAAATATGGTTAAACTGTAATTTATATAAAAAAGAACATAATAAAAACGTATAGACACTTTAAAAATATCTACCCTAAATAAAGTTAGATTTATTTTATAACATAGAAATAGAAAACAATTGATGGAGGTAATTTTTTGTATGGTAACATAATAGTAATTCTAATAATAAATATATTAATAGTAACATATAGTCGATACAGTCGTTTAAAGAAAGTCTTTAGACAGTGCAATCCAACCGGGCGTGCGGGGTGAGATGGGAATGACGCTATACCATCTATACTATATGATAAATGAGAAAGTGTGTTTATTTGTTTCTCCATCTTTCACGTTGAAATAATGGCTGCAGTTTAGTGTATGGGACGCGGCCCCTGGAGGATGGGGTGGTATTTTTGGATAGAGAAGACAATTGGGAGTCCAAATATATAAAATTTATTTTGAGGAAACGAAAGAGTCAAAAGTTATTGAGTCTTAAAGTTACAACATTTCCATACATTATTATGACATTACTGCCATTTTGACACTTGGAAATATCAAAATGTCACTTCCAAGTACCAAAATGATTTTCAAATAATGAGTCAGATCTATCACTGAATTTAAAATTAATATATAATCTGATAAGTCCTGAAAGCGGTTTTAAAAACAGAAATTGACAGTTTTGTCAAAAATTAAGATTATTTTGTTCAGATTATTGTTTTTAGTGAAATTATCGAAATATTAATATAATAAAGCCTTAATTTTCATGAAAATATGAATTTTACACGAACAAGGATGTTTACTATTCGTTAAAGGTATGTTTATCTTTTGTTCTAACTTTAAGTCTCAATAACTTTTGAATCCTTCATTTCCTCAAAATATGTTTTATATATTTGAGCTCCATATCACTTCCCCTATCCAAAAATACCACCTACTCCTCTAGGAGCCGCGTCCCATAAACTAAACTTGTTCCGAAGTTGGAGGACTGGAAAGTGGTAGAAGTTACTAATTACTGCGGTATATTATTTCATTTCCACGGGGAAACACGTTACAATTACACTAAATATTAACTGTTAAAACGTACCTAGGGATGAACCCGAGCGAAGCGAGTGTGAGTCGCTAGCAATAAATAAATCAAAAAGTATATGGTTTAAATTCACATATAGAGAGACTTATACACAAGCAAAGTGAAAATTTGTATGTGGTCGCGAAAAGCATTTTTACAATATATTAACTTAATCTACTTATTTAGTATACAACATTCGTTAACATAAGAAACACATTTGCTTAAGTGCTACCAACTTATACAATATATTACAATATTTTAAGAACTAAGAGGGTGGTTTGTACTTAAAAGGGCCAATGCATCTAAGACTGAATGTAATATAGATAATAATTTATTTTTAATCGACTTCAAAAAAGGAGGAGGTTCTTCGAGCAGGTAATTCGGATGCTTATATTTTTTTATGCAGGTACATATGTTCGGGGATAGCTCCGTCATATAGACAGATTCTTTCAAAATTCTTTTTGTTCGAAAGAGGTTTAGGTCCGAAATGGTCCCATTTAAATTTGAGAAAAAAATCCACCCCTAAGTGTAGAAAATAGGGGATGAATGATTTTTCTCCAACTGAATTTTTAAAATACTTTCTTCTTATATCGCTACTAGCTAGTACATACATTATTATATGATCAGTGCTACTAGTGTGTCTACACTAAAAATGGAAAAATAAAATTTAAAAAAAAATATGTAGGTATATATGTAATAAGAAAATAAATATTTAAATATTATTTATTATTTTCAGATTTCTACCTCAAGGCTCATATTTGAATGCTAGAAGTACTGGTTTCGAGCAGCTGATCGCATTAATTCAGTATATCCTAAAGAATCCCGAAATATACTATCATTTCCACCGCTGGAGAAAACATTACACTATAAACAAAACTGAGAGATATAAAGGAATCTGCGAAATTTGTGCATATCTTAACGACGAAGGCAAATTCAAAACTGTGAGCATTAAAGAGGACTTCAGAAAATGGTGGTATTCTGGTATATTATTTCAGCGATGCATTCCAAAAGGTAAATTTGAATTGCGTTGTTATTTATGTAACATATTAATCTTACTCTTTTTCATACAATAATACTGTAAAATCGTAAGTTCGTTTCTGTGCATGTTTGTTATGCCTTCATCCTGCAATCGATGGACAGATTTACAAGCTACGAGGCCTGTGTTATGGATACCAGATAGTTGATACACTACACATAAATAGTTTTAAATATGTACATACATATTATAAATATAAACACCCATAACTGGAGTACAAGCATTCGTGGTTATCACTAAATACCCCCAGCGGGACTTGAACCCGCGACCGCCTGCACAGCAAATAGGGTCACTACAAACTGAGAAAAACTTGTCGTCAGATATTATAAATCTGTATAAAATGCCTATGTTTTATTTTATTTAGATGATGAAGATCGATTTTTTGATGGAGGTACTCCAAAAACCGACATCAACAAGCGAAACTAAATAATGAAGTGCAAAATGACAAGATTCATTAACCAGCAATTGATTAAGGAAAATTTGTAGAAGATAACCCATAGTATAAGTTAATTCAAGGACCATATATTTAAAGGATCACTGTAACCGAATTGAAATAATTTAACAGACATTTCGATTTGTTTCGAGCTAATTCGTTCAATCAGGTCAGTTAAAAGATCTTTTATTCAACCCTTTTTTACGTCCCACTGCTGGGCACAGATCTCCTTCCAATGCGAGGGGGATCAGGCCATAGTCCACCATGCTGGCCAAGTGCGAGTTGGTAGACGTCACATGTCATTCGTAAACTTGCTAGGTTTTCTCAGACATGCAGGTTTCCTCACGATGTTTTCCGTCACCGTTAAGACAAGTGGTAATCATGTTGGAAATGATTCGCACATGAAAATATCAGAGGTGCGAGAGCCGGGATTTGAACCCGCATCACTCGGTTTTCCAAGCGAGCGCGTTACCACTGGGCTACCACTGTCTTTTTATAGCTATCTTATGGAAGGATTATTCACAAATGAAACAAAGGAAGTATAGAAATGAAATATAATTGAAGTTTTTTTAATCTATAAATAACTTTAATTAGGTTATTATAAATTATTAAAAACTAGCGTAAGATATTTTTGCTATTTTAAATAAAACTATCTTTTCGGATTTTTTCGCGGATTTATTATATATTTAGTTTATTTTTGGTTCCCGACGTTAAGAAATACAAAACCTAATGAACTTTGAGACGTCAACGTTAATCTTAACCTCGTTAGTCTCTCCAGTGACCATAATTGCTGTAAAGTGTTCGAAACGAAAAAATAAATCCGCGAAAAATCCGAAAAGATAGTTTTATTTAAAATATCCAATATTCGCGTAAGAAAGTAACTATTATATTTTTGCTACTTAAAAGGCAAATATATATTTTTCAAGTTATTTGCTTTTAGATAGTAAATATGTGAATAATAATTTTAATATGATTAGACTTGTTTAATAAGTAAAAGTTTTGATCATCACACTTTTTTTTATTTATTAATTATTTATTACAACTAAAAGAAAAAAGTTAAAAAGTCAAAAAAATTTACAATTTAGTAAATGAATTAATTTTTTTTTTAAGTATACCTATCTATATTTTATCTTAGGGACATGCTTATGGTGTATAGGGACGTTATTTTATTTATTATTTTTGTAGTGAGACATTGACATTTTTATAAATTTAACATTTAGGTTTTGTCATTCTTTTAAATATAACAAAGACTTTTGAACCTTTTTATTACGGAAAAGGTTAAAATAACAAAGCATAGGAAAATAAAGTTGGCGTCATTGAAATTATATGTTAGCGAAAGTGTGCGTTTAAGAGAGCGTGCGGAACTTTTTTAGAATTAAAGGTAATATCAAACATATACCTAGAGTATTTACATTACATTATATTTACTTATATTATAAATACAACAGTATAAGTGTTACTTCATATTTTTTACTCATTAAAAATCATTTATACTAACGAATTTTTTTTATGGCTTAAGGACTTAAGCACACGATGACTATTTCATATGCCGACGACGCGCGTATTACGCAACAAAAACGCGTTGCAAACGCACTGCTTACGCAATGCACTTTGAAATACGTTCATAAAATTATTGTAATTGTACCTACTGTACTTTTTAACGCGCTATCAATGCCGTTTTATAAAACGCTGTGTGTACAGGCCCTAAGAGTGGCATAGGCTTCTTATGCTGATGCATTGAATGGTGATGTGAATAATGTGAATATAAGATACTAGCAACTTACTCTTGCTTCGCTTGGGTTCGTCACTAGGTTGCTTCCCCATACAAATCTTTATCCTTATCACTCTCTCAAGGGATGATTTCCGGGATAAAAACTATCTTATGTCCTTTCGCGGGGCTTAAACTATCTTCATACCAAATTTCATCTAAATAGTTTCAGTAGCTTCGGAGCCTATTCAGTACAAACAAACAAACAAATATATCCTCTTTATAATATTAGTATAGATAAAAACTGAGCTACCTAAATAGAATAGAAAAAATTAAAGCTAATAATAAATTCCACAATAAACATCAGGATTAAGATATAACAATCAGAATTCAGTATGGCAGCATTTTCAAGTGACTGGTTAGCATATCGCAGAGATCGCCTGTTCGCATATTCAGGAGCTCTTTGTTCTGACCCCACTTCTCTCCTTCGCTATGCAAAATAGGTCTGTATTGGCGATTGTGTGAACTCCCAACTTCTTTAAGAGGAATAGTTAAAGTTTAAGAGCTTTAACATATTTGAAGATGACTTTGAAATGGTAATGAATTTAATACATTAATGATCCACTTGCCTTTGAATGGTAAATGATTTCGTTTGACAATCGTCGTTATATTGTATCTGAATGACATTACTTTAGAAAGTGGTGGGTGGATTATGTATAGATATATAAATAGGCAAAGACAAAACCATTCAGTACCTTTTTCTACTCTGTTAGATAATCGAGTTTTTTTTGTTTAGTAGCTATTGGCGAGCTTTCATGTTATCAATAAACACAAGTTTTGTAAATTCATTCCTCTCCGTTTTCCTCAAATTTTTAATAATGATTATGGTATTTCGGCCATTGTGTCAAATATACATTATGATATTTCTTTAGAAGATTTTTTCTTGACATTATTATTGTTATAATCGTATAAAGAACTATGTAGAAAGAACCAAAGTGTATTTCAACAAGTAAGAGAGTATAATATGTGTCTGATATGAAAAATATTGAGATTTAAATTATATATATATTTTTATGTACTTACTTTGTTCACAATATTATGAGCCAGTCTATATATTAAATAATTCATTTATTAATACATATGTATATTTATATAATACCTATATAAAAATCATTTTTATAGTTTTGTATCTGCTACTACAATCAAAGTATTATTATTATAACTTACTTAAGGCTTAATATAGATTTCTCAGAAATGAGATATTTTCCCGCAGTAAAAAGTATTCTATATGTTGATCTGGATAACCAGCTATCATCATACTAAATTTCATCAAAATCTGTCCAGTAGATTTCACATGATGCGGTCACAGACAGATAGACAGACGAAAATTCTTAAGCTATAGATTTTGCCTCTGTATTGATTCATTGATATTAATGACTATTTCCATAAAATATTTTATGTACAGATACGACTTAGAATTTTATTATATGTAGGTATAGATTATATTTTCTTATATATAAATGAAGGCGATAATTACTAATTAGTATTCAAAATTATAATATTGTTTTTAAAATCTATATTATGTATATAGCAGGTGCTTGCGCGTCAATAATCCTTTGTTACGACCTAGATTTTTCTCTTCGATATGCAAAACAGCTGTGTATAATGAAGAAGGCTTGAACTTCTTGAAGGCTTTAAACTCGAATGACTTTGGGAGTTAAAGGCGTGAATATTTTTAATATGTAATGACTAAGAATGAAGTGTAAAGATTAGTTTTTAAGTTACTATATATTTTTATTTATTGATAGAAGAACTCAATATCTAAACTAACCGCAAAATCACCGAGCAGTCGAGGCAATAAGTCCATACAATGGACATCAGTTCTAACCTTTAATTTATCTAATAAAAATCAGTTTTAATTTAATTGAGGATTCTTACTAAAGCATTTCATAAAGTCTCATTAAAATCAATACAGCAATTCCCAATTAAAGCGCGTTTTAGTACAAAACGTACAGATACAAGTAACGAGCACCTATTGTTACGTTCAAGCAATAATTACAAGTTTTATTTAATTACATAGTTACAACGTTAGAAAATTCTGAGCTTATAAACTTATGTTATTCCATTTCAAATATTCACATAGACAAATGTATAATATCAACGCTTAATCTGTAGCGGGATAGGCGTACCTGATGTACTATTCACAAATTCTATTTGCAAACTGATTAGACGTATACCCACTATGTACGTGTAATCAAGTCGGTTGATGAATATTCTAGAAGCTCGACGACACTTGACAGAGGGCGCTACTGAACGAAATTTGAATTATGCTTGGTCAGGCTTTTAGGCTGAGATGATGATTATGTATATTCATGGATAATTTTTTGTTCCCTTGACATAGATTTAGTAACTTACTCATGCTACACTAGGTTTTGCTCTTGGCGGAAAGTATTGTGGAACACTTTCTTTTGGAATAAATTATAAGCAAGATTAAGTTTATTTCGTTTTTAACTGATTTCCAAACAGAAGTTATATATTGTGCTACTTTTTAGATGACACCTTCTGCTATAATTCTATACTGATGCAGTATAAAGTATCAGGAGGATTTCCTTAATAAAATTTCATACAAACTAAAAAAAAAACTACTTTCAGGCCCTAAAATGTAAAAAATAACTAAACGTGGGCTTTCGAAGTCGGTGCCAGCCGATGCAAATCAAACAATATTTCGATACGTAAAATACATATTTACCTATTGGATATTCATATCTTAAAATATTGACTTTAATTGCCAATTCGTACAATTTAAATTGCCAATTTGTACAAAAGTTAATTTCCAATTTGTACAAAACTTAATTTCGAATTTGTACAAATCTTGATTTCCATTTTGTACAAAACTTAATTTCCAATTTGTACAAAACTTGATTTCCAACTAGTACAATTTGTATAAACTTAATTTCTACAAAAACTATATAAAAACTCACGATCAATGCGCACGGGTTGAGCGCTTACATAGAACTGAGGTCGTGACTTTGCATAGCTTATATTTTATTGTTGGTGTATTTTATAACATTTGTCTGTGGTGCTTTGCTATCTTTGTTCTTTCAACTACACTTTGTACAAGTCAAAACAAGATTAAAATAACAATGCAATTTTAAAAATTAACTTGTGATAAATTATGACATTATGAATAAAGAAATTCTAAAGCGCAGTCAGATATCATAGATTCATTTTGAATGTGAGAGGTTTGAAGAAGTTTGCGCTATTATAACAATTTGAGTATCAAATGAAGGTTCGAAAGAAGTAGATTCCAAGAAGTACATATATATTTTATAATTTTTCTACAATCTATAATAAATAATACAACGTAAGACCTGACGTTGCAATTTGGTGGACGTTAACAAAACAAATCATAATCTACATAAGGACAGGACAGTGCCAATAACAAATTATACTCAGTAAATATAAAAAATACGTACATTCTTTATATACACGTGCATATATCAAAATGAGCAAATTCATAATAATAAATAAAATCATATCTCCAAAATCAAACAACTCAATATAAAGCTTTCGTGCGTAAAACGAATGTTACCGAAAACGGTAGTAAAGTGCAATCAGAGCGCAATTGGATTGCGACACGCGATATATCGGGCGGAGTGCGTTAACACACCTGATGCAACTGTATTATCCTATAAAATTCCACTACTAATTGTATCATTCACTGATTTAGATATATAAGCATTTTTGTTTATTCCAAATATTATTCTCAGTAAATATGTCGACAACTGTAAAGAAAAATATTGTAACTCGCTATTGTAAGTGTTTTGAATTTGAGCTTTATTTCTAAATAGCGGCTCTCTATCGCTTCGGTCGGGTTCGCTTCTAGAAAAATTATAACAAATCTATCCCACGGGAACCGTACATTTTTCCGGGATAAAAAGTTACCTATGTGTTATTCTGATATATGAGCTATATTATTGTAGTTTCATTAAAGTCCATTCAGTATTTTTTGCATGAAAGAGTAATAAACATCCATACATCTATACCTACATCCAGACATTCATACATCCTCAAAAACTTTCACATTTATAATATTAGTAGGAGCCGACAATATTTTAAGATATAAATATCTAATAGGTAAATATGTGTTTTACGTATCGAAATATATTAGATTTGCTTTGCATCGGCTAACACCGACTTCGAAAATATCTGATTAGGTATCTATTCTAAATTAAAATCCCCTTTTAGTTACTTTTTACATTTTAGTGCCTGGAAGTCGTTTTTTTTAAGATTTTATAATTTTCAATAACTTAATTTTAAATGGTTACAAATGTAGGGGTAACATACAATATTTACTGCGCCTACAAAACCAATACGCACCTGAGACCTGTGTTTTGGACGTTCACTGTACAGCCTATTTGCATAATAGTATATTATGCAATTGCGATTTTGTATCGCATTAACTTCAATTAATGATACTTCATAGATAGTAAGAACATAGTAAATATTATGTATTATATTATAAAATAATCATTGTTTTATATAGGAATTTGAATAAAATATTTAGAAAAAATGCTTAGTCTGGGTCGGCCTCACGTATCGGGCGTTCCGATCATCACAAACTTTCTTAATAAAGTTATTAATATAGCAAAATATAAAGTGAAAACGATTCAATTCAATTCTTTAGTGTCGTTACTGTGATGCGGTAACAGACAGACAGACAGACAAAAATCCTAAAAACTATAGATTCGGACTCTGTATCGATAATAATGTCTATTTCAATTAGATTTTCCAAAAAATATTTAATGTACAGATTCGATCTAGTTACAATTTTATTATATGTATAGATAGATTATTAATTTTCTTTACTCTAATAAAGTTGCTTTCAGGCTGTTTGACATTTTGTCGGTTTATATTATGACATGGTATTTAATTTTTGACATGACATGATTTTTTTCTTACTACTTGCCCGCAGCTTCGCTTCGCTTAATAAGCTGGGAGAGGTTAAAGGTAGCCTAAAATGTTACCTATGTCCTTTCCAAATTTTATCGAAATCTGTTTAGACGTTTAAGTGTGAAAATATAAGAAGGAAGTTCCTTTCACATTTATAATATTAGTATAGGTTGAATCTTTAATTATTCAACAGTCCGTTAGATATTACTATATGTAGATAATCTACGAGTATATATAAATATGAATATATCCTAATAATATGTTTGTTCTATAAGCGTTCCCAAAAAATTAATCTCTTTTAATAATTACTTATAGTGTTACAACAGCAAATTACAACTAGCTACCTAAATTACAACACTGTACCTAAATAAAATATTATTTCCATCCAGAAATTTTGTAAGAAGATAGTTTGAGACACTGGGAAGGACATAGGATACTTTTTATCCTGGAAATCATCACTTAAGGGAGTGAAAATGGGGATGAAAGTTTGTATGGGGAATCAACCTACTTATATTTTATACTCTTTTTATACATCTTTTTAAAATTT